GTGGTTTGCGGCCTGCCAGTAAACCCAAAGCAGAAGAAGAAGAAGTGACGTCAGCGGCTTCATTTGCCTAATCCTCCCTCAGGTTCAAATAGTTCTCATGAACTAAGTTCTCATGAACCTTTGTGGGAAAAGTACTGCGGTGTGAATGCGCCTAATGGTATACTAAAATCCATGTGAAAAAAATTGCTTCTCACTGTTCTCAGGTCAAATATGTATATGTGATTAAAAATGCGATTAATTTCGATTAATTAATTACAAAGCCTCTAATTAATTCGATTAATTTTTTTAATCGAGCCCCGGCCCTAATAAAAACCTGTCTGAAAATGAGCTGATCAGATTTTGGCCACTTTATGATGTCATAACGATTTTTTGGCTTGTTTAACCATTAGCCAATCACCAACCAAGGTAACCCCCACCCACCCCCCCGGTAGTGCCCAATAGTCAGCTAAATAGTGCCCACTGCCCACTAGCCACGCCCCGACACATGGGGTCACGCCGGCCAATCACAAAGCTTTGATGCATTCAAGTGCATTATTCTGGCACAGGAAGATTATGTCACAGGACATTAACGATAAAACAGAATGTTGTTGTTCTATTTTTAGACACATCTCGCGATCGACTGGGAATCTCCCCGTGATCGACCGGTCGATCGCGATCGACTGGTTGGGCACCCCTGATTTAGTGTATCGGTGTACCTATTTCAGAGTGTAATAATGAAGCCAGTGTGGCAAATAACGACATAAGAGCAGAGTGACGTGCTGTAATTATAGATTTTGAAAAATGTGAAAGTTATATCAACTGATTTGAATAATGTTAGCACACAAAGACAAAGGGTTTAATTGATTCCCTTTCAGCTCTCTTTTAGATATATACTGTAGTTTTGAGTATTTCTTCATGCTCAGTGACTAATAGTTGACCTGTGCCACACTGATGAGTCATTGATTGTAATACATTTTACAGCAGTGCATGACAACATCAACAGCTTTATCTCCCCAGGGTTAGGAGCATGTAACCATAAAAGGATTGAAAGCTGCTATAATCAGTATGTACTATCAACAAGGGGTCACATGACTGTGTGTGAAAGGTAAGAGACAATCCCAAAGATGCACACTTTTGGTTGTATGCCCTGTTGAAGACAAATACATATTAATGCTCATGTCAGCTGGATGATTAAAAAAGCAGTTATTTGCACAGTAGTTCACCATATCAAGTTACATAAGGCTGTTACTAATGAATATGTTCATAAGTGATGCATCTCAACAGAGAAATGTTGTCAGAAGTTTAAAGAATAATAATACAAATATTTTCATTTAACTTAAACACAAACATATAAATAGTAAAAACCAGAGAAACTGATAATGCCGCAGTGGTCTCTTAATTGTTTTCAGAGCTGTATCTTTAGGGTGGAAAAAAACACTTTAAATAAGTATTTTGGATTAGGTCAATTTAATTGTTCACATTTTTTTTTTTAAACTAAAGCGCCCCCACAAATAAAAAACAAACACTTATATACTAACTAAGCACTCATATACTAACTAAGCACTTATCATACACATACATACAAATGCCTTTTGACAATTAGTGCACTAACTATGCCACGCTGCTGCAAAGCTGGAGCAACAATTGCTTTACCAATCTCTATTCAATTATTAGTAATATTAAACGTGTTGCACCACTTAGTGTTACCAGAAATACACCCAAAAAGTGTGAACAGTCCTCGAGATTGTGCATGTTCTCAAAGTGTACAATTCTTTGTGCACGCTATTTTCAGAACAGTTTTTAACAAAATAACCTAATGCAAAGTGGTGGGAGGGACACAATTGTCCATTTCCAAAAGTGGTGGGGCCACAATCAGGAGGGAGATAACCAGCAGCCCCCACTGGTCATGTGTGTATTACATAAACACCTTGAATGTCGTCCTGGTCAGAGCCCTAGAGATAAGAGTTACGACACTCTTTGATGTCACCGCCAGCCGGTCACGTGGTTTATGTATGCCGGGATAGTTCAAAACGCACTTCCGTTGCAATGCTTCTCTATGGCAAAAACAGCACAAACATGGTCAAAATAGTCATAGATTAAACCAACGCTGTTATTTTTTAAAGATTGCTTTCATATTTACATGATGTGGTTACACTTTGTATGGATTGGCACTATTTATAAGTTTCGTTTTTTAATGATATTTTGAGGGGAAAGTGTGGTAGCACAAGCAGGCTATGTTGCAGTCACGTCCGTAGTATAGTTGCGCTGCGCTGTCATGTTTTTCTATGGGACAGACAGACAGCAGCGATTGCGTTATTGAATGGTAAATATATATAATATTAAAAAAACACACACACCCAAGTACTTTTTCAGCTGTAATTGCATTATTGCATACTTTTTATTGACAGTTTTGCATTTGGAGAGGCAGGGTGACAACGGAAAGCTTGGTAGCCTATTACTTAGATACGTTTTACATTTTTGGAGGGAAACGTTTGTGTTCATGTTAGCATGGGTAGCAGGATCATGTTAAGACTATGAATATCATTTTACCACAACAGTGGATGAACAATTGATATATGTGTTTGAACAAGAACCACAGGAAGAACAAAGTAAAAGGGACGAACAAATGTGTGAACAAGTATTAAGAACAGTGTATGGAAAAAGTGATGTGATGTGGGATGTGTGTTAGAACAAAACAAAGTTAAATGAATGAGAAGGAGAACAAAGAGGGTTAGGGTTCAACAGAAAAAGATTAATTCAGCCAAAAAACACAATTTTGATTAATCTAAAGTGTAAAACAATCTTCAACACAGACCAAATTAGTGCCCTTGGACAACAAAACATATGGTGGGGCAAAGAAACGATAAATTAAATTGAGAGAGTGGGAGACTAAAAATTATTACTATGATAAATATTCAAACTATTTACAAAACTATTTACAGAAGCTCCTGTTGAACCAGCAACAAAAACAGGTTTGTCAACAATAACGAGGCCACTTTGCCAGGGGGAGGTGATCCAGCGACGAGACAATAAAGCAATTCATATTAGGTTCTGTTGAGACACTACAGAATATAAAACCTTCCAAGCCATGACCTCTGCCTGAAATCAGGACCACTCAGAGGAGAATGCAGCACATCAAACTGGAGTCAGGAGTGTGAATAACACATTTTGGCCAAAACAAATAGTTGCTTACCAATACAGTGACTGAACTTGGACACCAAAAAGTTTGACCTCATGTCGTCACGCAACACTGTTACTGCCCTAAGTCATTTCAAGATGGAGGAGTATGATAAGGCCATCAGCTTCCTCCGGGACTCCATCCATCTGTTTCGGGGCCTAAAGATCGGTCCCAAGGGCAGCTGGAAACCAGTCCAGACAGGACTGGTGATGGCCACAACAACAATCCTGGAGGTCCAGCATGACCTGTTGAGACAAGGGCACAAATTTGTTCTCACAAGCCGCTTCACTCAAGACTGCCTGGAAAACACATTTTCGTCCATTCGTCTGAGGAACTCTGTCCCAACACCTGTAGAGTTCCAATATGCTCTGCGCGCTGTCACTGTGGGTAAAAAAAAAAAGTGCTAATTATTTATTTTTAAAGTGTTTATTTTGTTAAAAATAAACATTTTGGATGCATGACCATGTTTTAGGCTCATCCTTCATTCACTGCTGTAGAGTAGCCTATTCAGTAGGCTATTATTTGTTTAAGACTGAATAATACCTTTGAAGAACAATCATTTAACTAGTGTGTATATTACAATACAAAGGAATCTATCCTATTCCTAGCATGCCATCAAGCATTAAAAAGTAGCGCAAGGCTAGTTGTACAGTACAGATGAGTTAACACGGAACAGTACAAAAAAAAAAAAAGTACAGTCAACATGTCACATAATGAAATGTTAGTATATCCCAAAATTCAATGAAATATTAAATGAAATATTTATCACAAACGCCACCTCATTTCTACTAGTGCTAGCAGTTAAGTCATATCATACAGAAAAAGCCGACTAAGGATGGCTGACACGGTCAGGTTCAGCAGATAAAAACCAAAATAACAATAAAAACACATAATCAATCTAAATCCTGCTTGTTAGTTACCCAGCATCATTGATATATAAGCTGCTAGCGATTCATTACTGAAATCTTACCTTCAAAGCTGACGAAGTCGCGCTAGCTAACTAGCAGGCAATGCTAGCTAAATTGGTTGTAACAACCAAGATAAAATATAGATAATTACGCTGTGCATATACAAATGAAGACCAGTATAAGCATCATAAAGGGCCTCTGATACAATATAGACAGTTGACAATTCAAAAGAGTTCGATATTTCCGCAACTTACCTCTGGAACTAATCAACGCGCCGTAATGTAAGTTAATGAGGTTCAACGCCCAAATGACAATATTTGAACTATTTCGATGTCCATACCCCGGAAGTAGGCGCCGCCATTTTTTTACAACGGAGGTCTATGGGAGTGTCGACCATAGACTGCTCTCGACGGTGGGCGTGTCTGAAGCTTGGGGATTTTTTACGAACAACGCGACCAACAACCAATCACATGAATGTCCCGCCCCGGACATACAAAGCAAAGCATTCACGCTACATCCATGCTGGCTAAATATACTGTCTATGCTTGCTAGCTGTCCATTCAAACGAAGTACACTGGATATAAACTCCCCAAACAGGCGAACACCTACCAGTTTCACCCACTGTCTCTGCCACCTCCCCCCATGCCTGGCTCCTCCGGTTTGTATCCCTGTATGTAAAGAGGGACTGGTCATATAGTACCGCCACGATCATTTTCTCCTCCATTTTTTGACATGGGAAATAACTGCGGTCTGGCTCTCCCAACATACACGCGGTTTGATTGGCTAGCGCTTGTAATGTCAGATTTGCATACGCAGGATTTGATTGGCTGACACCTCCGTCGAGGCGGCAAAAGTAGAACATTGCTCTACTTTTGCAGCGAGCACCGCGAGAGAAGCTACGCTTTGCTCCCACAATGCAGTTCGGCTAATCGTGACGTCACCCCATTCAAATGAATGGGCAGAAGCGTTGAAGCGGCAACGCACGCCGCCGTGTGTAGGGCTCTGGTCCTGGTTCTCCAGCGGTGTGGCTCCGCCCCCAAAGGATCAACAGTTACTTTTTAATGCGCATTTCCTCATTATTCACCCAGTGTGTGTCAGGCTCTCCGTCTCACACAGTCAAGATGTTTCCCTTTTCCTTGTTGTCACCAACTACTTGGACTCTGCTGGCTGTCTTCCTCACCCTGGTTTATCTGTGAGTAGTTTTTAAACTGTCATAGCAATGTGTTGTCAGGTTTATGAGGCTCGTGTAACCCTGCTGTAACGATCCGTTAACCTGTGGCAATATTGATCCATGGTCAGAGGTGGAAGAAGTACTCAAATCTTGTAGCTACTTTAGTAAAAGTAGAAATACCACAGAGCAGGAATACTCTAGTCTGTAACGATTAAAAGTACTGTATTCAAAAATGTTAGTCAAGAAAAATTACAACAGTATTAGCATCAAATATACTTAAAGTCGCAAAAGTAACAGTACGATCTGCAAAATGAGTAGGCCACTCATTATGCAGATCGTCCCATTTCAGAACATTATATGTTTTGAGAAAATGTTGATGTCTTCATATGTTTATCAAACTGATAAATGTTGAACCCATTTTAATTAATTACACTGCTGGTGAATTTAATCCAGATGTAGCTAAAGTCTTGATCCCATTTGTTATCATTAATCTATATCTGCAAAGTAACTAAAGGTACTAAATAATTGTAGTGGAGTAAAAGTACAAAGTAACTGAAAAGGAAATTACAAGTACCTCACAATTATAGAGTGAGAGTATAGAGCTTTGTGAAAATATAATGCATTTTTCATTGTGGATTATACTAAATTATATTTGATTATATTAACTTTCATTTTAATTATATAACCCAATATGGAAACCTCCACAGTATATATTTTCTTTTCTTTTTTATATAATACAGGTATGGCACTTGGCCGTATAGGCATTTCAAAAAACTTGGAATACCCGGACCGAAGAATTTGCCCTTTTTAGGAACGATTTTACACTTTAAGAAGGTAATACAAATACGCACAATCCTTACAGACTGGTATGTAAAATGAGTAAACTGAGATACACATTGAAGAGGTATATTGTATTTATTATAACTTAACTCAGCGGGCAGTGACCATGGCTAACCTTGATCATTTAACCTTTGCTCCTTTAACCTTTAACACGTTGTTCTACGTTTTCCTGCAGGGGATTCTTGCTTTTGACAGTGAGTGCCATGCCAAGTATGGGGACGTCTGGGGGTGAGTTGTAGCTTTAGCTGTCCTCTTATTGGGATTGGCTATTTTGAGCCAAAATAGATATGTTATTGTTGTTGTATAAATGTAATGTGTGGTTAGAATGATTCCCGACACCCTTGTTCATGCAGGTGCATGCAGAATATTTTGTCAACAAAAATATTGTACTTTTTTTAATCAATGTTGACTTTTGGACTTTTTGGACTAATATCATTTCTGGATGACACAAGTCTGAAACAGCTCTACACAGCCACCACTGGAATCTTATTATATACATTTAATAATTCAAAATAATATTAGTGTAGTCTAATATTTATTTAATTTTGCAACCGGGCAGATCATTACGGATTTAAACAGGATGGAAAAGGAGAAAAAAGCTGCTTAGCATTCGAATGTAGATTAGGAATTTAATTATCAATGCTATAAAAAAAAGCTTCAAACTTTAAAGCTATTTTGTACATACATTTGTTGCCATACATTAAGTTTTGGGGGGAAAAATAAATCATAAATACACATCAACATAAAATGATGTGACCTGGTTTATTATCTTAACCAGTTTATATTTATTTTGGTATTTTAAACAGTTTTAATTTCCTTTCCTCACTGTCTACTGAGTGGCATTGGTATTGGGAGTTGAAATAGTACTCAGCTCTTTACTGAGTGGTGGAAGAAATGCTACGGTTAGGGTTACAGTACAGTGTAAAAATACTGTGTTACAAGTAAAAGTCCTGCATTTAAAGTCTTACTTGGGTAAAAATGCAAAAGTATTGGCATTATATATGTGAATTACCAAAAGTAAGAGTACTGATTTTGCGCAAAAGCACATTTCGGAATCATGTATATTAAATTACTGGATTATTATTATTGATGAATTCATGTTTTCATCACAACTGCTCATTATATATCAATGTTTATTTATTTTGTATTAGCTAATACTCTGAATATCTAGAGTAATTTGTGTTCTCAAATAAATGTAGAGGATTAAAAAGTACAATAATGTCGCCCAAACTGTAGTGGAGGAGAAGTATAGTAGCGTAACATGACAACTAAAACATTTTTTTTTGGTATATGTTACTTGTTAGACGCTTTTATCCAAAGCGACTTACATACTCAATACTGTGGACAATCCCCACAGGAGCAATTTGGGGTGAAGTGTCTCAGGGACACAACGACATGCTGACTGCAGTGGGGTTTTGTTAGGCTCCTCGTAAAGAGACACAAAACTTGAACCCGCTATGCAAGAACACTGGGACGGAGACTTAGGTGAAGTGTCAAAAAGACTGGATTTAATAAGTCCAGAAAAACCAGACAGGGGACAAAGCAAACTCTGAACAGAGTGGGGAGAACGTGGAGCAGGGCTGAGACGGAGGTTGGGCTGGACGTGGCAGGACGGAATGGAATGTGGAGTTTCTGGAACAGGCAAAAAACAGAACAGGATTAGCATACGAAAAAATCCAACTGGAAGAGTATACGCCGGAACTGGAGTTTACCACTGTGAGTATACGAAGAACTGGCGAAGTCTGATGATCGAACCGGAGTTTTAAGCAGCAGCAGGTGAGTGGTGGTAATCAGTGATGATGAGAAACAGGAGCGGAGGTGAGTTGGCGGAAAACGGAAAGTAGGTCAACCACGCCCAGCCAGGAAGACAGACAAACAGATAGACAAACAAACAGAGAGAAGGAGATACCGCAAATCCTCACAGGTTTGAACCTGTGCTCCCTTGATCCAAACACCATCGCACTAGTCCACTGTGCCACACGCCTCCGATATGTCACGTTGTATAATATAACCTTAGTAGGATATAAAGATGACAAAATTACTGTTTGATTTTGTGACATTTTACAGCATGCACATTTGATAACAGCACTAACGTTTGTGTAAACTATGAATAGCCCAGTGTTAAAAGAAAAATATATTTCTTTGCTAACATTTTTAATCATTTAATGAGGTCATTTTTAATCAATATCTCAAACTTAATACTGTGATGATGTTGTGTTTTCCATGCAGGTTGTTTGATTTCCGACAACCCGTTTTGATGGTGGCTGACCCTGAGTTTATTAAAACTGTGCTGGTGAAAGAGTGCTACTCTGTGTTTACCAACCGGAGGGTAAGAGACTCATCTTGTTGCTGTTATCGTACACAAGAATACATTCAATTTCAGCAGGTCGTGGTAAATAACACCTATGCTAATAAACATGTTGGGTCAGGATTAACACAGGCTCACATATGTTATCCCTGTGGTTTGTTGAAATCATTAAAATAGTTACATACAGTAGGATAATCCAGCTATAAAATAAGATAGTACTTTATTGATCCCAATTTGGGAAATGTTTGCGTTGCAACAGCATAAAAAGACATGGCATTGTACAATACAAATTCAAGACAAGAAATAAACAAGAAAGTAGAAAATATACATGTTGAATTCAAGGTATTATACATATGACAGATGGAATATTAAATATTGAACAGATTATTTTAATAATTATTAGATTATTTTATATTTTATTATTTATTTGACCAAGACAAGGATAAAATGTTGGAGGAACTCTTCTGTGCAAGAATATGAACATTCAGTGTGTTTGTATTTACGTTCACAGGAAGCTATAGCGGAGCCATCTTTGAAGGATGCAATTACAAACGTTAAAGATGAAAGGTGGAAAAGAATCCGGAGCACTTTGTCCCCGTGCTTCACAAGTGGACGACTCAAACAGGTTTCATTTCTAAACTCACAACTGCTTCTTCTTGTGCAGCTATACACATTCATCTTTATTCAGTAATAATTCTGCACTTTAATGTGCAATATCACTCTCATTTCCATTACTCAGATGTTATAATATGATTGCCAACAGTACTCTCAGAATTACTTGTTACATTTTTTTTACAAAATCTATCGTATTGTATCGTTGGTCTAAAGATGTACTGGAAGTATTACTTCCTATTTTTTTTTAATATATTTATTTGAGTTTACTTATACATGTATATGTCAGGGAATCATTTCCATAGATGTTTACCTTTTACCCTGTGACGCAGATGCCCAGCTATCTCCCTTAAGGAGGGGCTGCCCTAGCATTTTGTTGATGTTGCCAGTTTGTGACCGGGCAACTCTCGGTCAGAGATAGCTATTGTTGTGGGACACCTGGAACACATCCTTCTCGGGGTGTAGATGACCCCGAGCCATAAGCGACAACAAATGTGATTCAGTGTCCTCAGCTGTTTAGTCTATATATTGAAGAATGTTGATCATTACACTCTGAACTAGTTAAACTTGATTGTGGCATCTCTACCTTGTGGTCAACTCGTGGCCCGTGACATGTCTTGTGAATTCTCCAGCCGAAGCTCCAAATAAACCGCCAGTGTTTGCCGTCAAAGCTCCAGCTCTCCTCGTGTCTCTGAGTCCTGACTCCAATTGCTTCAGAAGTTTCCCCCACAGTGTAGATTTATCTTATTAGTATTTCTTTTTTATTAGCAACCTCTGGCACAGAAATAGTTTCTGGATTAATAACGTTTTATTTGATCCTTTTTATTTTGTCTACATACATGTATCTAGTCTGCCACATATACCCACTGAAATACATTGTTACCAACGACAGAAATAAATATGCAAAGTAGATTATCAACATAAAGCATCTCTTCTTCCTTTTTTAAAGGTTTTCCCCATCGTTTCTCGCTATGCAGACAAACTCACTGAAAAACTTGGAAAAATGAATTTGGATGAACCCATCGATATCAAACAGTAAGTTGCAAGCATATCCTGCTTTGTTGCTCATGAAATATATCAAAACTGCACCTAATACATGTTAGTTCCTCAAAGAAAACACATTTTCTTTTTGCTATAGATTCGTGGGACCTTACAGTTTGGACGCTGTGACCAGTGCATCTTTTAGTGTTGAGGCAAACTCCATAAACGATCCAGATGACCCAATTAATGGCCACATCAAGAAGATTCTTAACTTTAAAATGTGGCTTTTGATATTATTGAGTATGTCCTTTTACCCCTGTTAAAGAGGAGAATATGTCATGGTATTAGTACCTTGGGATCACCAGTATGACACAACCTTTTCCCCTCTTTTCAGTGATGTTTCCCTTTGCTGATAATCTGTTGAAGGTCCTGAAAATTGAAATCATGCCAAGCCTCAGCGTGAAATATTTCTATAACATTATCAAGAGATTTAAAGATGAGCATCAAGCAGAGGAATCTGTAAGCATTTAATCTGTACTAAGTGAAACAAGTGTTAAAAAGATTGCAATGACATTTTTGAAAAATAAGCTTTCTTGTATAGAGTTAGACAAGAAGATTAATAGCAATGTTATATATTGATGTGGATGTTGTGCTGATCTAGAGTCGAGGGGACTTCCTGCATGTGATGCTTCAGAATGAGATACCAGAAACGGACATAAAGGGCGAAGAAGATCAGCCAAGTAAAGGTATGATTGCAAACACAGTAATAATTCACAAAAGTCGAGTTAACAATCAAGAATGAAGTCATTCCTTTCAGGACAGACGCATGACAATCTATTTATATTACAGTTATGTATACAAACAACAGACACAAAAAAACACACATGAAAGCTAATAGGCACAGACATTTCCAGTCCACTTAAAGAGGACATATTATCCTCCTTTTCAGGTTCAAAATGTTTATTTTGTGCCTCGACTATGTGTTGGAGCTTACGGACGGATGTCACGGACGTAAACAAAGGAGCACTCACCAATTTACACACATTCATACTGAGGCAGAGGAGGCACCTGCTTAGTATTCTTACTAACAAATGTGTTTACTAACGTTCACACACATTCAACCTGTTGACTGCAAGGACTTTTACCCCCCTGAGCCACGGCAACACAATGTCAAAACCTCTCCACTTGTGAAAGTATTTTTCAACCTGGATGTTTTGCTTCGTTTTGTTGTAGGTTTGACTGAGCACGAGATGCTTTCCCAGGCCTTCATTTTCATTTTTGCAGGCTACGATACCACCAGTGTCACCATCACTCACCTCCTTTACAATCTGGCCACCAACCCGGATGCATTGCAGACCCTGCAGGAAGAAATCGATGCCAGCATACCAAGAGATGTACGAAAATGTGATTCTCTGCCATATTTGATCAACTTTTCAAAATGGTATATTGTTCTAATCCTCATCTGTATTTTCGTGTCCGATGCTTCCTTTACCTCCCACCCATAGGCTCCCATTTCATACGAGGATGTGATCGGTCTTCAGTACCTGGATCAGGTCATTTGTGAGTCGATGCGTTTGATTCCCACTGCACCTCGAATTGAGAGGAGTTGCAAGAAAACGTCCCAGTTCCACGGCATCACCATCCCTGAAGGAACTATCGTGGGCATCCCTGTGTTCATGTTACACATGGACCCGCGCTTCTGGAGATCACCTGAGCTTTTCAGACCGGAAAGGTAAAAGAAGACAGCGTAACAGCTGTCATGAAATTGTAGAGGTTAAAATGTTCCATTTTACTTGCTTATCCTGATCCACTTAATAAACAGACAAGTCATAAAACCATTTTTTTTTTAAAAGGCACCAATAGGAATAGAAACACATTTTATGTAACGTAGATAAAAGGTACAGTGTAAAAGATGTGTAGGCTACTGACTTGAAAAACGTGTGTGTGTGTGTGTGTGTGTGTGTGTGTGTGTGTGTGTGTGTGTGTGTAGGTTCAATAAAGACAGCGGGGAGGAGGTGAACCCGTACGCTTACATGCCGTTTGGGCTCGGTCCTCGCAACTGCGTTGGGATGCGCTACGCCGTCCTCACCCTGAAGATGGTTCTTGTCCGTCTCCTGCAGGATTACTCTGTGGAGACATGCAAAGACACCGTGGTAAGAGTAACACACATATTCATGCAAAGCAACACACACATTCATGTGCATTCAGACTGTCATGTCCTTGATTTAAAATTGTTATCTTCCTTTAGATTCCTTTGGAGTTCAACTGGATGTTCCAGCCAAAACAGCCAATAAAACTACAATTTGTTCCCAGGAAACAATAGCCCAAACGGGAGAATCTCTGAATATAACGCGCTTTATATCAATATGTAATGTAATTAAAGGGGGAAGAGGAGAAAGTATTGCCTTTTTAAGCTCAGGGGATGTACAATAAATTGCTGGATTATTTACTCAATATCATCATGTGTATATTAACAACAAGATCAGTATTACAATTCGCTGGGATGTTAAAAGCAAATACGTGTGGTGACCACCTATTTATACACTGGGTTCATAATTCATACATGGAACTACAGTTGGGGGTATTGTTCCCACACGGACATGTTATGTGTTTTACTATATATATTGTGTGCCCTCCTCTCTTCACTCTCTTCTTCCCGGACTGTAACCGGATAACATGACCTTAATTACTCTCTAATAAAGTACCCTTTTGCAACTTCCTTGCACCGCCTCTGACTCCCTATCTCTCGGCACTACATACGTTTGTTTATGTTCTCTTTCATACTGACATTTTTAATGGGTGGACAATTTAGAGGCTAACATGACATCTCGCTAAACGTGTTGCAGTCGTAAAACAGAGTACTTGTAAAATAAAGTAGCCTACTCACACTGGGAGAAAATACAAATTCTAACGGTCAATCCAGCCACTGTGTCGACCTATGGCATTTATTTTCTCTACATGAAGACATTGACCACCTTTTGACCAGCACATAACCTTTTAATGACCGTTTTTACACTTACACGTTGTACTGATTGAACATACATATAGTTTGTATATTCGTAAACTTTAGGAAGTGATAGCTAGGCTAGCTATTCTTTCACACACACATACGGGTATTGGGCCGAGCGCGACACCGTACTTCCGGTCTGCGCCGTTTTACGCGAGGTGCAAGCAGCCGTACACCGTCTAGGTATTGCTAAGCTTCCTGTACTGAATATCATAGTCTATTGCCTTAATCAATATCTAGTCAACTCTAAAATACCACATATATGCAATGGCATGATATATTATTGTGACAAGTGGGGTATTCACCTGGTGTTTCCAGAAATTAGACGTAGATGCAGCCAAAATCGACGAAGGCCACTGTCGTTTTTCCATACATCTGCAGGCAGTCTGTAACAACCCACACAGCTCTAGTTTACGCTGGTAACGACCTAAAACACACCCCTCAAGTCCAGAGATGTAATCCGAAGACATGCAGCGATTTCTTCGGTCGTTAATTCAGAAAAAAAACCTACTGCGCTCTGCCTTGCTACATTAGCTAGCTGTTTATATTAGCACCTCCAGGAAAATGGCGCATTTATATATATTTATATGGCGCGTGTTGCATTGTGGGTAGCTGGTGACGTCACTGTGTGAAAGAATGCCTCCCAGTTGATATGCTAATGTAGGCTAGTTTTAATGCTAATGTAGCTAGCAGTCGTTTGACCCTAGAACTTCGTATTAAATATAATTTACTCATGACTCAGAAAGATTGCGAATAAGCCTAGGCTACAAATATTATTTTTGATCAAAAGCACTACATTCAAAATAGTATCTAGCCATAAAGATTTAATTTTCGTTGTGAGAAACCTGTAGCTAATTACCTGCGACCACTAAAACATATTTCCTGTGCAGCTGCAACTAAACTGCATGTAGAACATAACCAACCAATAAACTAATTTACCAAAATAGCCTTGACACAGAGTAGCAGTCACATATAGTATAGTTTTCTTTAATAACTTTGTACAACAGGGTACACATTGGGTCCACTCATCTGAAGGCTTTGTGAAAGTTTACTGTGAAACAGCAAAAGTCAAGTTTTTCTGGGGTATGAATAACTGAGGTTTCCCAACTTACATTCATGGCTCACAAATGTATAATGAATAGCAAAAGCCACACAAATAACCATTTGATAACACGATTGCTATAATATTTAAATAACCAAAGTAGCTCTGGAGGTTTAATGATGACAATTCAATGGCTGTTATCAAAGAAGAGCTGTGCATTTATAGCTATCTTTGGCCTCAGTTATGGTGATTTGTGTAACTTTAAATGTTGAAATGTGAACATAAAGTCACCATTTTCAACCTCAGCAATTTGGCAGCTGGTGGATAGTTGGTGTATGGAGACATGTCTTTTTATTTGTCAACATACAGAAATAATCTGAAACTGAATGTTCAGGGAAACCTAAGTGTGTGGAGAACCGCAGACAGGTAACAGTACAGTTAACAGTCAGCAGAGGGCGCCGACATGGGCAGTGTGTGTGTGATTCAAATTTACTAAAACGTAAACAATTAAAATCGAGTTCATAATTCACAAAAGTTAAATCCTCCAAATCATAAATATGCTGGTGTTATAACAAATGTCACTGACTTTGCTTTCTATAAAGTGTAGGAAATTATCTTTGAACCAGTAGTTAAAATCTGCTGAATAATCTGACAATATAGGCTACTCAATCCAGATTAAAGACAAACAAGTTCACTTGATTAAAAATATATCAAATGTTTTGAGGATGTGGCAATATCTTTGAAACAAAACCTCTGAAATACTGCTACGTTTGTAAAGAATCAAGTGTGTGTGTGTGTGTGTTTGTGTTTGATGAAGGGAAATTGGCCCAGTTGGCAGCTTGTTGATACTAACCATTTATAATACAAGTGTGCCCACACACTCACACATTCATGCACATACAGGAACATAGCGAGCAGCACAGGCTCACATCCAGACATCCAGGCTGTAAACAAAAGCTCCTTTTTTATCAAAGAGAGGAGTATAAAAATGCACTGCCACAGTGCGATCTTGAAAAGCTCTATGGAGTGACTACTGCATTAGAAAAAGCAATCAACAATGCAAACAAAATGTGGGATAAAAAAATGTAAGTTTTATATTACAAAGCCTTTTGGAGTCCTGAGTTTATCAAACATAAACAAAACAGACAAAAAGGCCAGAGTCCATAGGTCATAGAAATACATTAAAGGATTTTTAAACAAACAACAAAATATATATATGACAGTTTTCCAGCTTGTAGTTCAGTCCTCACTAAAAAAAGAAGGTGAAAACAGTGTCCATTGCTCTTGTTTGGGATGACACACAAAATGCAGGATGTTTTGTTGTTACGTGTAAAATAGTTTTCAAGTGATTGAGAGGTACAATGAATTGTCTGAGTAAATGATAGAATATGTTGATTTCCGTTGGTTTTTTTCACATATAAAATGAAAGTAAAAGTGCTTGAAATAAAACCTTTAATGTTTTGGTAATGTGCATCGGCCCTAACCAAACACCGATGTGAGAAAAATTTCAGGAGTGCAGGCTGATGGAGGGTCAGAAGGTTTCGTTTCCCATTTAAGACACACACTTCCTTAAATTCCTCCGCTTCATATCGTCATGTCGTCTTCACACATTTACGTACATTATGACATTGAGTCTCTAATGTAAACTTGAACCTTGAATCATTCCGGTAAAGACCAAACATTTTGCAACTTGAACAGATGAACACACTTGCACACTGGGAGCAGTCCAGTACAACCACAGTCTTCTACTGTTGGTCACTGAAACCCTTTTGGGTTGAGTACCTTGCTCAAAGGCACCTTGGCAGTTGCTACTCAGAAAACATTTTTTTTCACTTCAGTATTTAACCCCAGAACTTTCTGTTTACAAGCGTTTTCTCTAAGTTCCTGCCTGCCCTGCAACTTAGTATGTATTTTATTTTTAACAGTGTTTTATTGGTAAATAAAGATGGTTAATTTGACATAACTATTACAATTTCTATTTAAAATATCTGCTTTAATGGATTTTTCAAATCACGTCAGGTTATCCCTTGATAGGCAGGAAGGATTTTATGAGCTGCTACAGATTCCTGACATCTGCCGATACAGATTTGACACAAAAAAAGGAACAAGAACAGGGATGTGGGAAGCCAAAAATACCAGGAAATGAACCCATGATTTAAGACACAGGTTGTGGATCAGTTTCTTTGTGTCTATGTTGTGTTTGTTGAAAGTGACACTGATTGTAGGTAAGTCTATCCAGACTGCTGTGAGAGGAACATAAGAAAAGGTTCAGGTCCTGATTCACACACAGCATGTTGAGGCAAATTGTATAAACTCCACCTGCTGCTTTAAACATTTGAAGGACATCTTAACAAAAGCTGTCTGAAGTGTCAACATTTACCAGCCACAAAGTATACCAGCATTTAGCTAGAGGTATTTTTTTTTTAAATGTCTCTTTGTCTTCAGATAGCATCACGATTCGGTGTGACAAAATGAAAGGACCAGCACCAAGTGTTGAGACCAAAACCTCAGTGCTTTAATTTTTTTTAAAAGAGATGGATTTGATATACAAAGATCCTAAATAGCACCATATAAGTGTGTTTTTGTAAGGAACCTCATAGCCTGAATAGGTAAGTCCATACAATACTTGATAAGTTAAAAAAGAGGAAATAAACTGTGAAAAATCTATGATAATCATTATTTCTTTAACATGTCATTGTATTACATCCCAGGTTATTTTTGGATTGTGAAATTGGAAATATCAGCTAAGATTACTCAAAACAAATCAGGTTGTTAAAATTCAATCCTGACCCAAACTTACACTCCTTTTTCAGCATCCTCTGTCACTGGTTTCCACTTAAACAAGACAGGGATTAGCACCATCCACCAACTAACTGCTGGTAGAATCTGAGTGTGGTTGGTAAACATTCAAACACTTTAATGGCTAAACAACCTGCCTTCTGCACTTCAAGATGTCTGGTAAAAAAAATGAAAGAGACCAGAGGGATATCCCACAGCGACGTCCTTCGGAGGGATGATCCTTCTTTTATCCGCAGCACCAGTTCCTCCTGCTGCTGCTCTGTATCAACATCGAGATTCAGCTGATTTTCTCACCAAGGCCTTATTTCACTGCCTTGCTCGAGGGCTCATCAGGTATTCTGTCACCTGGAAGTCTCTGTTCAAGTCCAGTCTCCCAGCAGACCTTGCAGCTTTTTATCGGCGCGGCTGGTGGCGGGAGTGGCGAGGCAGCGAGGAGGGGCTGGAGGAGGAGGAAGGGGAGCAGGGAGACATGGAGGCCAGGGAGGCGGAGGCAGCGGCGTCCTCGGCCTCCTCCAGCTCGCCCCCCCCCCCCTCCGTGCAGCTCCTGGCTGACGCTGGACTGCAGCGCGGCCGGGGTCAGCCACTCTTTGGGCAGGCAGCTCTGCAGGAAGGGCACGCAGGAGCTGAAGTAGGCCAGCCGGTTCACCCAGCGAGGGACCTCCCTGCCACACAGGATCTGAAGGGAGGGAGGACAGAGACAAAGGTTGTTGTTGTTTAGCGATCACAAGGTTGTATATCACCTATTATGCAAAATCCACTTTTTCATGTCTCTTCTACATCAACATGTGTCCCCTCTGTGTAAAGAGATTCTGAAAGTTTCAGGAAAAAAGATTCTCTCTCATTTTGTCCTGATCCATTTATATAAAAAAAAAACTGTCTGAAAATGAGCTGATCAGATTTTGGCCACTTTATGATGTCATTACGATGTTTTGGCTTGTGTAACCATTAGCCAATCACCAACCAAGGTAACCCCCCCCCCCACCTTATCACCTGAATCTCCTCCTAGAACACCAAGTGTTCTTTGTAACCAAATCTCTCTCAGAGGGGCGTGGGGAGTGGCTCCTTCTAAAGTAACAGACAGAGAATCAGCACTTTTGAAACAGGGCTGAAACAGAGGGGATTATGGGATGCTGCAATGATCTGTTTGGTGTTTCGAGCCAAACACTTCAGAGACATGCTTTGTATCTGAGACCTGTAATATATTGATGAAAAAAAGAGTATAATAGGGGACCTTTAAGGCTGCTTTGATACAGGGTGTATACAATTGGCAGGGTCACACTGCTCTTAACATTACATTTACATTACATTGCATTTAGCTGACGCTTTTATCCAAAGCCACTTACAATAAGTGCGTTCGACCAACAAAATACAAACTTGAAGAAAACAGAATCATATAAGTACATCAGGTTTCATAGAGCAAAAACATTTCAAGTGCTACTCAACTGGCTTTAGATAAGCCAGTCCTTTATTAGTATATAAGTGCTTTGTTAGTAATTCTATCGCTCGAAGTGGAGTCGAAAGAGATGAGTTTTCAGTCTGCGCCGGAAGATGTGTAAGCTATCTGCTGTCCTGATGTCAATGGGGAGCTCATTCAACCATCTTGGAGCCAGGATAGCAAACCCACGTGTTTTCGCCGATGGGAACTTGGTTCCCCCTCGCAGCGAGGGTGCAGCGAGCCGTTTGGCTGATGCAGAGCGTAGTGCACGCGCTGGGGTGTACGGTTTAACCATGTCCTGGATGTAGGAAGGGCCAGATCCATTCGCAGCATGGTAAGCAAGTACCATTGTCTTGAAGTGGATTCTAGCAGTTACCGGAAGCCAGTGAAGGGAGCGGAGGAGCGGCGTGGTGTGGGAGAATTTAGGAAGGTTGAAGACCAGATGAGCAGCTGCATTCTGGATGAGCTGCAGAGGTCGGATGGCACATGCAGGTAGACCAGCCAGGAGGGAGTTGCAGTAGTCTAGGCGTGAGATGACGAGAGCCTGGACCAGAACCTGCGTTGTTTTCTGGGTCAGCTGGGGACGTATCTTCCTGATGTTGTAAAGCGTGTATCTGCAGCAACGGGTTGTAGCAGCGATATTTGCAGTGAAGGACAGTTTGTTATCTAGGATCACACCCAGATTCCTTCCAGTCTGAGTCGGGGAAACAACTGAGGTGCCGATGTTGATTGTTAGGTCAAGAGTGGGACAATCTTTTCCCGGGAGGAAGAGCAGCTCAGTCTTGTCAAGGTTGAGCTTGAGGTGGTGAGCAGACATCCACTGAGAGATGTCAGCTAGACAAGCAGAGATGCGTGCGACGACCTGGGTCTCTGAGCGGGGAAAGGACAGAATTAATTGGGTGTCGTCAGCGTAGCAGTGGTATGAAAAACCATGCGGGCTAATGACTGATCCGAGCGAGTTTGTGTACAAGGAGAAGAGGAGGGGACCAAGAACAGAGCCCTGAGGGACCCCTGTAGTTAATTGACAAGGGTCGGACTCCGACCCTCTCCAAGTAACCCTGTAGGTACGGTCTTTGAGGTATGAGGTGATGAGGGAAAGTGCAGAGCCTGAAACTCCAAGTTCTTGGAGAGTGCGAAGGAGGATCTGATGGTTCACCGTGTCGAATGCAGCAGACAGGTCCAAAAGGATGATGACAGAGGAGAGGGAGGCTGCTTTAGCAGTGTGCATTTCCTCAGTGACAGCAAGGAGGGCAATTCCTGTGGAGTGACCTGCCTTGAAACCAGACTAGTGCGGATCCAGAAGGTTGTTCTGATTGAGATAACAGGAGAGTTGTTTAAAGACAGCGCGTTCAAGTGTTTTAGACAGGAACGGGAGGAGAGAGACAGGCCTGTAGTTTATAACATCAGACGGGTTGAGAGTGGGTTTCTTTAGGAGAGGGTTTACTCTTGCCTCCTTGAGACTGTTTGGAAAGTGATCAGAAGTTAGAGAAGTGTTGATGAAATGGGTGAGAAACGGTAGAATATCAGGAGCGATAGTCTGAAGGAGGTTTGAAGGGATAGGGTCCAGAGGACAGGTGGACGGGCAGAGGTAATGAGGGTAAGAACCTCACTTGGAGAGAGAGGGGAAAAGGAGGTTAGTGTGTGGATGAAAGGAGGGTCTGGTGACCCAGCGGTGAGTAAAGGTGAGTCAGAAAAAGAAGAGCGAATATCATCAACCTTTTTTTCAAAGTGGTTAAGAGACACATTCAATAACTTTTCAAAGTACCTAAACCAAAAGTGTCTGGACTTGATACAACAATTAATGGACTTTGTTTGTTTGTTTTACCAGCTGCTCATATTCACTTTGATTTTAGGTTTTTTCTTGATGATTTTGAATGCTGACCTAGCTCTGGTCACTTCTGGTGTGAGATTCAAGTAAATATGACCAGTGGATTGTTTCCTTTTCAAACATTTAAAGTGTTTTTGGTTAACATGATTTAATTAGTTCCATTTTTCCGTGTTAACAAGATAAAGGATTCAGTTTCCAGTTGGAAAGGGCCATCTAAGGGCGAAGAAAATAAGTAAAAATATTCTAAATATACCTTGCACTTTAACTTATTTTGTTATTTTTAGGGATGACCTTTCTTTAAAGTCTAAAACACATTTAGCTGACATCCCCATCCACAGCAGGACATTGCTTTGCTTCCATGCTGGTCCTCTCTCTTCTTCATTCACTGTTGGTAATACACTGACTGTGGATAAGTACCTCATATAACCCCACCCCAAAACATCCTAAAACGCTCCCTTTCATGTGTTCTTCTAGGTCAGAAGACATCTGAGGGGCTAATCAGAGGCAGCTGAGCTTGCTTTGGAATACATTTGAAACAATGAAACAGGAAAATACATTCTTCTATGCCCTTGGGAGGTGATTCATGGGTAAGAATAAACAACATTTAACCACATAAAAGCCAAGACATTCCAGAAAGCTCCATGACCTGTGGCAACCCAGACAGAGTAAATAGTGCCTCTATGGGAGGGATTAATTCATGTACTGTAACTACCCCACTGGTTCCATATGAGGAGGTTTGCTTAGGCATTGCTTCTCAAAGTGTGGTCCGCGGACCACTGGTGGTCCGTGAGCGCCCCCTAGTGGTCCGTGAGTATATTGGTAAAATTTCACATTTGTAATTAATTAATTAATTAAAGTTTTCCGCACTCTCGCGGGAATATCTCCGCAATGGAGCGAGCTTAAGTTTCACTTTCAATTGCATGATATAGCCCAGATAAATACCTTCATCACACATGTTGCCACTTGTTTGTACAATTTTCAGGCGATTTGTAAAAAACGATGTGTTTTTGGATATTTGTGGAGTTAGGTGGTCCGCGAGTGTTTTTTTATTGGTTAAGTGGTCCTTGGTATGAAAAAGTTTGAGAAACACTGGCTTAGAGGAAGACTTCAGTCTCTGGTGTATTTCTCTTTAACCTCATTCCCTTTACAGACCAGCATGCTGGACGGGCAACAACACTGTCGCTGTTTTGTCGCTGCTTTTAATTGAACTATTCATATCTTAAACTGCACTGTAACTTTTATCCATGTATTTTTTCTTTTAATGTTTATTTTATTAGCTTTTCTTTTTAATGACTGATTTTAAATGCAATTTTCTTAATGTCTTTCATTTTTTGTAAATCACTTTGAATTGCCTTGCGTTGAAAAGTGCTATATAAATAAACTTGCCTTGCCTTGTCAGCGTAAGGGCTAATTATCCTCACTGTATCAGAGCTCTTACAGCCTTATGGGGCGAGTGGCTTCCAAGAAAGGCTTTGTTTCCAGTCAAAGGGCTTACTTTTGTTCTTACATTTTTTGCTCGTTTTTTTTTATTACTGCCACATTTTATTCCATTCTATTTCTATGTAAATACTGCTATATTTTATTATTTTAAATATTTTTTAATGTTATTATAGTTTTCTTAAAATAGTTCTCTATCTGTGTTTTTAATTGTTATGTATGCACCACGACATCTAGTCAAATTCCTCGTACGTGTCAACCTATCTGGTAATACACCTGATTCTGACATTGCAGAAGCTGCAGAAAGGCTGTTTTTTTTTTTTTTTAAATGCATGCTTTTAAAAAAACTAAAATATCATACAAAGAAGTTTATTTTGTAGTTTCCACCGTGGCATATGCAGCCAGCAGATGATACTAGAATATTCACTTTGTTTAGGCTGCAGCAACTTCCTCGTCTCCTTATGTTTTGACAGGATAAACGTAGGCGCTCTAAAATGCAAATCACTCTGGCTTGCTACACAGATGATCTCCCAGATAAGCAAAGCCTCAACTACATTAGGAGGAGGAAGCAGACATCTGCAGGAGAGAAACAGACAATCTTTAAAAATCACAGGGTGTATTAAAAAGAGCTGTTGCTGCAGATTTCACACTGTAGTCACGTGTTTTCAGAAATACTCCTTTACACTCACAAGACAAGCTTATAATCAGCAACTCGAGCTGTTCATGATGGCAGATCAGCTTTTTATAGCACAGTGTGATTCTTGATGTGACAAACAACAACTGCTTAACATCTGTTTTAACCATTCAACTATACAGATGTCTTTAAACCTGCATTCATCATTTATTTTCTGGCAACTGCAAAGTAACAAGCTGAACCCACAACATTTACATTTAGCCATAAAGTTGATTTGGCCAACAGTGGTTCGTTCACACAACCGGCAGAAACAGAAATATTCAAAGCATTTGGAGATGAATTTCTTTTCTTTGACACCAACAATGTTTTCTCTCATTCTTAGTTTAGCTCTTTATCTAATCCTGATAAAGCCCCTGATAAATCGTTTCTACGATGCATTGCGATGCGGACGTGGACGATTCGGTCTCGATGCAGTGACGGAAGATAATCGGTTATAGCGTAGTAACGTTGCTTCCTGATTTTCCGGCCGCGGCTTTACTATAACGTTTTTTTTTTCTGTCACTTTAATATCAAATCGGTCGGTGACGCAGAGATCAGGGAACAGACGTGACAGCGGCACAGCAACACCAAACACGGAGCAGTCTGCTTTATCCACCAACACAACACCACCAGTCCAGAACCAACAGCAGAAGGACCCGCTCTGAATCACTCCGTGTCGCTGCGGCACAGGGATTTATGTTTTTTTTAAATAATCGCGTTACAATCATGTCCGGTTTTTGGTGGATTTAATTAAGTCTTGGATTGCAGAGTATGAATGACCTCTAGCAATTTTCAGACGATATACGTGTGTAAAGTTTGTGAAGGCAGGAGGAAAAAAGCTTCCGCGATCACCGTCTCCTCCGTTCCTCCAAACCCCGCCCTGAAAATAATGAGTGACAGGCTGATAGTGACCCGATAGAAACTTTATTATTCACTTAATCACTGAGATATAATGAAGCTAATTTAATCTCATACATTCATGGGATGTATGCAACAGTAAGACAGAGAATGTAAGTGTGCACCCACATGCAGTATTTTTGTTTGTATATACTATTGTAAATACTCCTGTTGTCTGCTGTGTTCAGACTCAAGTCCTGTGTGTGATGCCACATTCAGGACATTCAGTGTCCTTTTTTTAACAGAAGACCGTTGCTAGAAGCTGCAGCTAGACTGCAGAAGCATTAGTTTTTTGTTTTTGAGGATGGAACACACACAGATATAGGGAGGCTAGACCTATACAATTCATTTATTTTGGTTTATAAATGAATGTCAAGACATTTATGTTATTGATTTCTGAAGCACTTTCTAAATAATAAAAAGAGAGTTATGTATTTACTGCATGTATGCATTGATGAAAAATAAGCCATGTGCAGTAATATAGAAAATTGAGGATGCAACGCATTGGTATGAATCGTGATGCATCGGGATGCATCGAATTGAATCGAATCGTTGACAGGATAATCGTAATCGAATCGAATCGTGAGACCAGTGAAGATGCACAGCCCTACTATACACTCAAAGTTATTTCACTAAACACTTATCTGTGTTATTTCTCTGTTATGATGCTTTAGTGAACTATTTACATTCTAGGTGAGACTCTTGATCCCAGGAAGTCGGAAAGATTAGTGACATGGTCTTATTAGGAACAAAGTTACTTATTTAAAACTTACTTTGATACATTTTTACTTGTAGTTACTGGATATAAGCCTTATTTGAGCCCATAGCTCTTGTTGATTTCAACTCATAGTTGACACTGAATAGTCGGGCTACGGTTCTTTAATGAAATACAAATATGTGACACCTTGAGAATTGTTAAGAAAAACACAAATCAAGCCATTTTCAAATGTTTCATCCACATAGCAAGTTGCAGTTCAATGCCTTGAAATCAAGATCTGAGTCAAGCACTTCAAAGGTTCTCTCTGGAGAATCCATTGTTATGCTTGATGTTTTAATGCTGCAACAACCATGTTCTGCTCTGTCTTCTTTAAGTCAACCTCCCATATTAATGAGGTGACAGTAAACATGACAGTGGAGTCCTTAGAGCAACGATGCTCCCCTAGGGAATCAGCTGTGTCAATATTATTGTGTATATGTGTTTGTTTGATTATGGGGTCTTATATACGGTATACACGGTAGAATAGATGCATTTTTGTGTCCACATAAGTGTTAATGTCTGAATGTGTCACTCTTGGTCTTGATACGTGGTGTGTAAATCTGTGTGTAGCATTTGTTTTGTTAGTGTGTGTGCCAGCTGGCTCTGCATGCCCGGGCTTGTGTCAGTGTGTGTTAATCCCCATCTCAGTGCTAGATGCTAACTGTAAGACTCCCTGCTCATTAGTCACACCAGGGTAAGCTGATTGAAAGTGCACACACAGTCACGACACACAAACACACAGCTTGTTCAGTGGCTCACACTGAGAGCAGGACAGAAAAATCAAGTGATTATTAAACTGAGTGTGTCGTTTATTTCTTAAGCACATGTCAGTTTCGGTCAGCCAAAATGGTGCGGTGCTGCAGAGTGTGTGTTTTTCTAAACTTGTTTGCAAGATCATTTGTGCGTGTGTGTGTGTGTGTGTGTGTGTGTGTGTGTGTGTGTGTGTGTGTGTGTGTGTGTGTGTGTGTGTGTTGTGTGTGTGTGTGTGTGTGTGTGTGTGTGTGTGTGTGTGTTGTGTGTGTGTGTGTGTGTGCACTTACCTCCGACAGTGCCGAGGAGAAGTGATTGCAGTTCTTGTGCATGAGGTGGTAGGCGTTTCCTTTGTACTCCTTACCCATCTCCTCCACGATACGCTCCACATCCTCCTCTGTGAAGTCGGTGCTGCCCAACACTATGGCTTCTCTGCAGAGGAGAGAGGAGAGAGGAGAGAGGAGAGAGGAGAGAGGAGAGAGAGGAGAGAGGAGAGAGGAGAGAGGAGAGAGGAGAGAGGAGAGCGTGCGAAGGCAGGTGTTACTAACGCTTACTCAGACGAAACATCAACAATGAATTCAAGACTTTTGGTTAACCTTCCTTTGTGCAATCAAGGTGCCTCATCATAGACTTGTACGAACAGATTCATTTGGCTAAGGATGGTGTCATTAGTTTTGAAAGCTATTTAGTCATAAACCAAAAGGGTTGGGCAAACACTTTCAAAATGATATATATTACAAATTATAGTTATGTGTGGTCTTATTTCTACTATATAACCACAGTTCAACTAGTGGTGGGTAATATTTATAGCCACAGGGCAAGTGTCCGTATGACGTAGACAGTTTTCAATTAAAACTACATTTTCACAACATATCACCTTATTGTGAAACGGACTAAGATTTACTTTTGAAAAAAACACTGTATATTTTAGAGTATCAGACAAACAGAAACAGTCTGGCTATCAATGAACGTAATTAGGGTGCATGCATACCTAAAAACAATGCCATGGTTAAAATATTAAATAAAATATATTTTAGAGTAACATGTATAAGCCGATGGACTGTCCACTCCAGGTAGGGAATGAGTCCTTACCCCAAGTGAAGGAGTTCAAGTATCTCGCGGTCTTGTTCTCGAGTGAGGGAACAATGGAGCGTGAGATGGGCCGGAGAATCGGAGCAGCGGGAGCGGTACTGCAGTCGCTTTACCGCACCATTGTGACGAAAAGGGAGCTGAGCCAGAAGGCAAAGCTCTCGGTCTTCCGGGCCATTTTCGTTCCTACCCTCACCTATGGTCATGAAGGATGGGTCATGACCGAAAGAACGAGATCGCGGATACAAGCGGCCGAGATGGGTTTTCTCCGCAGGGTGGCTGGTGTCTCCCTTAGGGATAAGGTGAGAAGTTCGGTCATCAGGGAGGGACTCGGAGTTGAGCCGCTCCTCCTTCGCGTCGAAAGGAGCCAGTTGAGGTGGTTCGGGCACCTAGTTAGGATGCCACCTGGGCGCCTCCCTAGGGAGGTGTTCCAGGCACGTCCAGCTGGGAAGAGACCAAGGGGTAGACCTAGGACCAGGTGGAGGGATTATATCTCTTCGCTGGCCTGGGAGCGCCTTGGGATCCCCCAGTCAGAGCTGGTTGATGTCGCCAGGGAAAAGAAAGTTTGGGGCTCTCTGCTGGAACTGCTACCCCCGCGACCCGACCACGGATAAGCGGGAGAAGATGGATGGATGGATGGATGTATAAGATGGCTGGCAAAAAGGTGAATTAAGCTGGAATGGGATTTTCAAGATTTGTTGACCTTTTATACCTGAAATAATATTTGTATATAATATTTTGTATTGGGAGACATTCGCTTTGTATTTGACATAGAGACACAACAGCGGGAGATATGTAGGCATTTGACCCAGATTACCCATAGTCTACTGGTCTGCATAGAAACAGCAAGTGTGTGTGTGTGTGTGTGTGTGTGTGTGTTCAAGGCCGAGTCAGTCTAAAGCCACAGGGCAGACGATCTAGAGCAGAAGTAATACACACACACACACACACACACACACACACACACACACACACACACACACACACACACACACACACACACACACACACACACACACACACACACACACACACACACACACACACACACACACACACACACACACACACACACACACACACACACACACACACACACACACACACACACACCACACACACACACACACACAACACACACACACCACACACACACACACACACACACACACACACACACACACACACACACACACACACACACACCACACACACACACACACACAAAACACCACGGCCCTAAAGATCAAGCAACTTGTTGTTTTCAACCTTATTAAATGACATGTAGGATTCAAAACATATAATAAAACACCTAACAATATTACTGCAGTCCTGTTCAAGGCCACAAACCAGTATGAAAAATCCCCCTGCAATCAATGTAAAACCTAAACACAGAACATTATACGCTTTGAAAACGTGTGGTTTGTTGCAGGAAAGTTACAACTAAATGCTACATTTTCTTCTCCCTCTCTGTTTTCTATAACTATTTCTCGGTCCCAAAAAAAAGTGTGAAATCAAAACATTTTTCACATGCTGAGCTCTCTATGCCTGAATTGTATTTATTATCTGTGATTCAGCAGCAGTGACCCGTAGCCCTCATTACAGGAAGACACCGGCTCACTGACTGACTGTTAGACAATGATTATTGACTGCTCCTGTTTGGTTCAATGAATAACTCATGAACCAAACATAGAAAGAAGTCTACGGTGCTTGGCATCAAAGTGTTTCTGAGACTGCTTAGTCAGAGTGTACTCAGTAGCTCATGAAAAGCACGCTGACGAGATGACATGTATTATAAATGCTCCATGTTGCTCTGAATAAACCAGGCTACTCAGGTAATCAGAAAACACTCTTACCTGCTGTGTTGTTACCCTGTAAACCTGTGATTCATACCGCAGGTCGGTATCAGACCTCTTCACTCCTCCAGGCATTATTTTCGGAATTGTACTAGTAATAGAAGATGCTCACAATGACAGCACTGGTTGCTACCTCACTATATAAGACTGTAGTGTCTCCAAAAGTCTATGTCAGAGAGACTCTCTAAGAGTTTTTAAACACAAAACAGCAGCGGGGTCAGTAGCGTATTCAAATTCTCAGTTTTGGGGATGTTGTCTTACAAAGACTCTCACGTCAAACTGGCTCAATATCTAGTCACCTGACCTGTTGCCGACAGGCTGGAAGGCTGGAGGCACATGTGGGAAGCAAAAAAGACATGCGTGCAATTGCGCAAGTTAAACCAAAATCTCAAACTTACTTGAATTTAAAGGTCTCGCCGAGTTCTGTTGCGTCACCTGGTGTAATCTCAAAGATCCCTGAGAACGGGTACGGGTGTCCGCCATAGGCAAACTCTAAACACACAACATAAAAACATTAGTGCAAATCATTCCCATGCAGAAAATCGTAGGTTGTTATTTCGCACAAGTAGCCAAATAACAACCGTAAAACAATTCAGACATGTCTGAAGTATGTTTTGAATTCTGATTGGAAAGCGTCCTTTATGAAACGCCATCCACAGCGAGTGAACTGATGTGTGGGGTTATATTTCTGCGTTATTTTTACCTCTTCCATAGATCTCAATCCCTGAGTGAAAGACTCCGATGCCCAGAGTGGTGGTAAACTCATTGATCCAGTACTGAAAATAGAAAGAAAGGTCAATGTAACATGTATATATGTATCACTACGTGGATGGACACAGTTTTAACATGTTTAGTTCCAGTAACCATACAATACAACAACGTATGATAAAGTGTGAACTGTATATGTGAAAATGTCTCAAATGTGTCAGCATCTATGGAAACTCCTTTTTATTTATATGACGTAAATTAATTTAGATTTGTCCAAATATGTGTACCCTATTTTTAGCGTTTTCTCTTTAATTATTATACCATTAGTAAGGAAGATTACCAACAACCATCATTACCTGACAAGCGTCTTTTAATTGTTTGATTAAGTATAGTTAGTGATCATATTTATTAATTTGATATATTTATAAAAATGGTGACATCCATTACAACTTCCCCAAACTTAGTGAACATTTTAAGTTTTTCATTTGATCAAAACAGTCCAAAATGCAAACAAGTATTGATGTAAAAGAGAATGTGAGAATGTTTAAGAATTGAACAGATTTTCTAAATTGTTACGAGTTTATTTTAAACAAAGTCTGTCGGTGGACTAAACGATTGTTTCAGCAGACCACAGCCTATCTTATGTAACATGTAACCTTGCAAACAACTATCTGTTGCAGTTACACCACTGGAGAGGCAGTGAGATCCGTGAGTCTCTTATGTTTACAAAAGATCCTTTACACACACAAACAATTACAGACAAAAGAAAAAGCACACACAACAAATCAATAATTGCATTAGCAGTGATGGCTTCATCTTTTCAGCGCTGTGCCTAACATCCTGCAGCTGCAAGGCGATTGGTCAAGCTGTTGCTAGGCAGAGTTTGATACTGTTATTATCACAGAGGACCTGCATTGCAAATAGTTCTCTCTGCATATTGTAACTGTTTAAACACAAACTGTGATCATACAGGTAATGAGGACACTGCACCGCCCTCTGGCTGTTTGCACTACAGCAGCTGTGAGGAGGTTGTTCTACCTTCACTGCAAACTTCAGTGTCGACTTGTGAGCTCCTTTCTACTTGTTGCAGACCATTTCAGGTAATAAACTACGTTTTCGAGTTGTTGCACTGTGACTGTTCGTAATGACTGCTGGAGAGAAGTGTCACCTTTCTGAAACTTGAGATGTGAGTAGTAAAGTGTAACATAACCAGGGTGAGCAGTGATGGGAGTTCACTCAGCTAACTTTGACCAATCGCAGGAATTTGTAAATTGATTATTAAAAAGGATAGGGAATGCACTCATACATCTAAAATAAATATGCAATATGGTCATATTCACATGCAGTTTACTTACAATAAACCAATGGGAAATTCAAGACATCCAGCAACAATCTTCATTAGCAAAGAAACCCTTGTTCTTCCTGGAAAAGTGTTTCTATGCATCCCATCTTATTAACTCTTTTATGAACTCAAAATGCATTTCTCTAACAGCTACTACATGTACTCTTAAAATCAACCCCTCAATGAACAGAAAACACATTAAGAAACTACAAATATGTCACTATTACAAGGAAAGGAAGCGTGCGAGGAAGTTACCTTTTGCTCCGTTTCAAAACCACTTTGCGTGATAAGGTAACCCAAACAAGTACCGGTACTTACAACTAAGCACGAGTCACTCACTGCTAACTTTAACATTTGAATACTCATTGTTTGCATTATAAAGCCACGTAGTTTCTTCTTCTAGAATTGCAGTTAACCATGCTTTCTTTTTTTATAAATAATTCAGCTCTACATTGTGACAAACCTACTATAGTGCAACAGTTCAACATTTACCATTGGCAGAGCTTTTCAAGTAAAGATGATCAAGATATTGTCAAACATCAGCCGCTTGGATCTCCTCTTTAGATTTGTGAAAGAACTGAGCAGAAATAGCACTATTGATATCCGGCTTGTGTCCAGACACTGAAGTGTATCAGCTTTCATCGCTGCTACAAGCCTCTGGGTGTTTCTCAATGTCGAGGAAGGCTGCTCCAGAGCCACTATTTCAAGGATGCTACGTCATCGAGTCCCGCCGAAGGACTGTTCCAATGTCCAGCATACTTGGAATTCTACCGAGGACGGCGTACTTCGTTACGGGAACATTTCGAGGCTGCATATGTGTAGACTCCGCGGTCTTAAAATCCCCACAATGCTTTGCGCACGGACCAATTTCCAAATCTTTGGTGGAAATCGCGCTCCATTTAAGGCGGAGCCTCGCATATGACGCACACCTGTTAGCCTGTTCCACAATTCTTCATTTTCCGAGGCTAGGAAGGATTCTTGCCTCGCTTCTGAAGGACCTGACTCGGAGGTACATGTGCTACCAAGCAAGCCTCATCGACATTGAGAAACACCCTGGGTGCGTCTCACTTCTCTTATTTTTTTATTTCGTCGCTCCTCGATCTCTGTCTCACCGGAAGTTGATTTGTCTGCGCCATCTTGAGCACCGTCCCAGTGGCCTTATTTTTGCCGGAGGACCGAGGATCGAGGAGTGATAACGGAGGAGCGATAATCGAGGAACTACCAGACCATCCTCCGGTGAAATCCTCAGACACTCGCCCCGCCCCCTTACTGTGTATCGCTCACTGATTGGACGATGCAGCGCATGCACTGATCTGGCTGCTGTCAGACATCAGCTGTGCCGCGTCATCACAAACAGACGTCGCTTCACGTGACGCTCCGGAGGAAAGGACGTCTCATTGCTCTTAAAAGTCATTTCCTTGCGTCTCTCCATGCTTCCCTGGTGGGAGGGACTAAACACAGGGAAACTACGCAAGTGAGGGAAGCAAGGAATCCATTTAATCGACCTGAGATGCAGCTTAGGAAGGATTCTTGCATCACTTCTGAAGGACCTGACTCGGAGGTACATGTGCTACCAAGCAAGCCTCCTCGACATTGACATCAGGCTTTTCCTAGGAGGCGAGAGCTTTAAGTGGTTCCAGACAACTGAATACTAAGAATCCACAAGAGCTTTTAAGTTGCAAAAGAAGCCCACAGCTACCAGAGGACTGTAAAAGCTACCAGAGGACTGTAGAAGCTACCAGAGGACTGTAAAAGCTACCAGAGGACTGTAAAAGCTACCAGAGGACTGTAACAGCTACCAGAGGACTGTAAAAGCTACCAGAGGACTGTAAAAGCTACCAGAGGACTGTAAAAGCTACCAGAGGACTGTAAAAGCTACCAGAGGACTGTAAAAGCTACCAGAGGACTGTAAAAGCTACCAGAGGACTGTAAAAGCTACCAGAGGACTGTAACAGCTACCAGAGGACTGTAAAAGCTACCAGAGGACTGTAACAGCTACCAGAGGACTGTAAAAGCTACCAGAGGACTGTAAAAGCTACCAGAGGACTGTAAAAGCTACCAGAGGACTGTAAAAGCTACCAGAGGACTGTAACAGCTACCAGAGGACTGTAAAAGCTACCAGAGGACTGTAACAGCTACCAGAGGACTGTAACAGCTACCAGAGGACTGTAAAAGCTACACATGACTTAATAGAAAGGAACACCGTAAACACAGATACAAGTTTACTCTGCATTTAGCAATAACTCGTAATCCCTCTGAGCGGCATGTCAGTTAGACGCCCAAACACGAAATATCAAGAGCAGCCACAGGATGAGCCTCTGTGTATGTTGGCAATATTTTGAGAAAGCTAATCTGCTAGTTGAATACGCTACTCTCCCCCTCGGTGGTGCAATAAGAGTATTATCTGAGCGCTTATTACTTCAAAGCTCGCCTCCACCACCGCACAGAGATCATTCCTGGTACAATATTTAAAAGAATAAAAGACAGAGAAGGGGAGAAATGGGTGCTGCAGATAATGCCTCTATACTTGATCATCTTATTCCATGCTTTAAGGCGGTGCGATAATTTTCTCTGTTAAGGGTTTGAATCTCAAACCATGGTGGTGAGCAAAGAGACGTGAAATGTCTTTAGTGGTTACTTGTACATCACTGCTTTAAATTCTCTTAAGGGGACACATGAAAGCAAACAGAAATCACAAATTGATGAAAGTAAACAACAGCTTCCAGCCACACACAAAACAAAGGTATATTTGAGCAGTTTTGCTAATGAAAAGTCTGCTATGCTTTAGTATGTCAATCAAAAGGTACATTTCGGCCAAGGTACTTGATTGATTAGTTGATTTACTCCAGTCATTGATCCCAAAACTAGACTTAAAACAGTGTTACTGAGGTTGCTTAACTAATAAAAGATCAATTTGCTAATGGAAAAGTTTCCATAAAGCAGTCATTCATTGATTAGCAAGCCTGCCCACAATGCTCTACAAACATACAAAGCTGTTAGTCAACTTTCTGAAATGCAGTAGCTTTAACCTTTCTGCTACATGATGCTACACTGGGTGCTTTGCAGTGTCCTACATAGAAGATATACGTATTTCTCTTGGCATGGTCCTAATTGATCCAAGGCATTATCCACAGCCAAAACACAACACAACATGCTCTCTGAGTACTTGACGCTGTTAAACCTACCCTAACACACACACACACACACACACACACTCTCAAACACACTCACAGATACAGTAGTAGAGCAGGCGGACAGGTGGTGTGCAGATAAGGCCGACTCATTAGAGCAGAGCACTAAAGCACTCAATGCTAGCCTGGAAATCCACTTAGCAGAGATGGGACCTGACGGAGGGGGACTGTAGAAGAAGAAATGGAGCGTGGTCTGCACTCCAGGCTGCACAGATATTCCTGAAAGTCACGTGACAGCATTGATCCTCAAATGCAAGTGTCTTTCTGTCTTAGCGTGAATGTTCAGAGTCACATGTTTTGCAGTGACAGATGCTCTCTCTGTGCCACCATGCGGCCCCCCCAGCCCCCGACCAGGCTGCATTTCAGTCAGCGCTCTCTGCTGCCACTGATCATTGCTTGGTGTGAACATCTGAGACGGTGTGGGGGATCCTGCCGTGTGTGTCACCACTCATGACCTCTGCTGTTGCCTCATCTCTGCAGTTTCTTGACTTCCTCTTAGATAGAAAGCTAGCAGACTAACACGTTCTAAGATTAGCTTGAGGGCAGCTTGAGGGCAGTCTGGCACAATATTTGTTAAAGGCGAAATAATATTCTGAAATAATAATGTTTCAAAAAAGGTAATTCTGTCTAATATCGTGAATCAAACCGCAATAAAAAATTATCGCAATGAGTGATTTTTGTTATATTAAACACTTAAAGGAACATGTGCACTGTGCAGCTGTGTTATCAAGGACACTAGGGGTATTGATTGAATGGGGAGCAAAATAGATCTTGATCGAGACACCCTTAGCTATTGACAAAGTGCCTAAACATAGTCGCTAAGCACTCACTGATCTATAAGCCAGAATTGACCAAAATGTGGACAGCATCAGTCAACCAGCAGACAGAAAGTCCTGCAGTCACTCAGAGAGCTTGCAGCCGGTTGTAATCCCAAACAGTCAGTCGGTCACTTTCCCGAGTCATGAGAGAACAGCCTGATCAATAGACAGAGGAAGTGTTTAAAAGGAGAGGCATGAATGAATGGACCGCAGCCATCGCCTCATTGTCCGCACCGAACTCGAGCTGCAAACGTCTTGTTCCCACAGCATCACTGTAAGAGTCAAGGACAACGTGCACATTGGTTCCGTTACTTCAAACCCACTTCTGAAACTCAATATGGATAACAACTGAAAGATCAACGAACAGAAAGCACAAGAAAGCCCGCAGCTGGACATTAAAGTGACACATGTGTTTGTGTTAGATATGTATAAGAAGCTTTCGTAAGCCTTTGCTTGTGAGTGCGTGCCATCATGGCCCCGCAGCCATTCACATGGATGGAAGTGAGACAGAGAAAAAAAGCTCCTCAGCTTTTACTGAGAAGCAATGTTGACCGCAAGTCAAGTGGAAAGCATGAGGAAGTGAAAGAAAGAGGGGGAGGGAGTGCATAAGATAGTATCAGGGATGAAATGAGACAGAATGACAGTAGGTAGGAAAGATATGGAGATAAGTGACTGAATTAACAGCTGAGAAAGGAAGGGAGGAATAAACAGTGTAGTTATTTGGAGATATGAGTAGGACTTAGAAAAGACTCTCCCTAATGTCAGGGTGTTATAACACTAATGTACTCTACACTGCATTCTTCCACACGGAAACATCTTTGTACAGATTCTCAACAGGGATTGTTCATTGAGTTGAATTCTCAACGTCGCTCCACATAAAACCGACTCTAACCTCCTGATCTCTGGCCTGTGAGGATATATTGACCATGAGCTAAAAAGGGAACACAACAGCAATAAATCAGATTAGAAATAGAGGAAAAGGGGCAGCAGCAGGGCAGGACAAATCATGTCTTGAAAGAGAGGACGTTTGAGTTTAGTCAGCAACAAAAATATTTCTTGATACTTGATATCGTCTGGATGTTTACGGTGTATACTGGTGGAAAAGGAGACAACACCATAATCACAAACATGGTGAACATTTATGACAAGTTGTGGTTTTCCAGCAAGATGTCCATCCACATTGTCCCCGAAGAAAACACTTCTACTGCCCGTTTAATGCCCCTTAACAAAACAAATGCCATTGTAATCTGTCTGCCACAGGAAATCCATATCAATCAATGATTCATCAACACATCAGTCAATCTGCACCCCCTCCCTCCGTGACTCACTCCTGCACGGTGACAACACAGTGACTCAAATTCAACCTCTGGCTCGTTCTGTAACAAAGAGACGGACATTTTCCTCCCGTAGGAAATGCCGTTTGTGTGAAATCGTCTTTTACTTTCACATCCACTTTTGATTTTCCGGCAGTTTGGTTTAGAGTCCCGTGTTTTTTGTCCTGGGTAACGTTATGTCCTTAAAGGTCCCATGTCATGCTTTTCCGGTTAGTACCCGTCCCCTTGTGTGTTATGAAGGTTTTTATGTAAACGGTGTGCAGAGTCAAAACCCTCAAAGTACACCCTGTAGGGAGTAAAACTCTAACACAGAAAATACCTCCCCAAAACGCCTCGTTGGAGATACGTCATTGTCCATTTGATTCTTCCGGGTACCATGATGTCAACCGTACCCGGAACGAAATGGACCAATCCGTGGAGCCGTTACGTTAAGCCCCCGCTGATTGGTCCAAATTGACCAATCCACGGACTTCCTCACTCACACACTCAGTGCAGGCAGCTCTGCTGATCTCTCCTCCCTGGCTGCAGGCTGATAACAGACAGTTGGGACCGCGGCGAAATTCTCTCTGCAGACCCGTTCTCTCTGCAGACCCGTTCTCTCTGCAGACCCATTCTCTCTGCAGACCCATTCTCTCTGCAGACCCATTCTCTCTGCAGACCCGTTCTCTCTGCAGACCCATTCTCTCTGCAGACCCATTCTCTCCGCAGACCCATTCTCTCTGCAGACCCATTCTCTCTACAGACCCATTCTCTCTGCAGACCTATTCTCTCTACAGACCCATTCTCTCTGCAGACCCATTCTCTCTACAGACCCATTCTCACTGCAGACCCATTCTCTCTACAGACCCGTTCTCTCTGCAGACCCGTTCTCTCTGCAGACCCATTCTCTCTGCAGACCCATTCTCACTGCAGACCCATTCTCTCTGCAGACCCATTCTCTCTGCAGACCCATTCTCTCTGCAGACCCATTCTCTCTGCAGACCCATTCTCTCTGCAGACCCATTCTCTCCGCAGACCCATTCTCTCCGCAGACCCATTCTCTCTGCAGACCCATTCTCACAGCGTTTATCAACCTTTTTCTTACTCAATATCAAGCCACACTTATTGTTTTTACTTTGGCTGTGACTTTGTGTGTGCTCAGGATGAGTTTGGCTGTGTATCGCTAAACAAGGAAACAACACCTCCACGGAGCTTAGCGCGATTCACAACGTCCCGACCAATCAGAGCACACTGTGCTCACAGGGAGGGTGGGGGCTGGAGCTATTGGAGCTACAACGAGCCGTTAAAGGCAGAGAGTGAAATTCAGTGAATACACGTAGTTTACAGAGATGCTGTATGAGAAATCAATGTGAGTTTGGAAAATTGCACAATATAAATCTATTCTAGTAGACCTCAACAATGGAATTATGATCAGTGGAAATGGCCATGACATGGGACCTTTAAGAACCACTAAGGTTTCTCTACAGACTTACATGGATGAATGGATATAAAAAGGAAACACTTGTTGACCTCTGTTTGAGTCATCAGGTTTTACTGACCGCTGTAAATCCTTCACTTGAGTTACTTTTCTGTTTTATCAAAAGCAGCTTAAGAGGTCCAACATCCAAAAAAGCCCTGGTGTAGTGCTTAAGTTTACAATATTCCAAAAGCATTTCATGTCAAGAATGTGTTTGCATTTGATGCTGCCTCTCGCTGCCTTGTTCCATTGCGTGTTTGGTATAGATGAAGACATTCATAAAAGGTGAAACTGAACTAAAAATAGCAACGTTTGTGTAACGAGCATACGCTGAATTGAAGAGTGGTTCATAATCATTTCAAAGTCCATTTGATATTATCAGAGGTGGAAAAAAGTACTCAGATCTTGTACTTAAGTAAAAGTTGAGGTACCAGAGAGTAGGAGTAAGTACAAAGACAATCAAAATGTTACTCAAGTAAAAGTAGTGGCATCAAAATGTACCATGAGGAGAAGTACTCATTATGCAGATTGGCCCATTTTAGAATCATATATATTATATGTTTTGATTATAATTATGAATGTTGTCAAAGCTGGTAAAGGTGCAGCTAGTTTTAATGACTTTGTATACTGCTGCTTGTGACTTTACTCCAGGTGGAACTAAAGTCTGATTTAAGTGTTGATTATATTTCACATCCTTAATCCAAATCTGCAAAGTAACTAAAAGTATCAATACATGTAGTGGAGTAAAAGTACACCTTTTACCTCTGAATTGTAGTGGAGTAAAAGTACAAAGTAGCAAAACATTGAAATACTCAAGTAAAGTACAAGAGTGACAAAATAATGTCCAAAAATGGGATAAATAAAGTATCTATCTATATATATATAAATCACCTTTTTATGATGGAGTTTGGGCTTTGCTGTTGACATGTACACGACACAACCATAATACATGGATAAAGTAGCAAAGAAGTCATCACAAATACATTTCTCTGACCCTTTTGAACCACTTACCATATCATAGACGTTGAGGATGATCGGCTCGTTGGCCATCACTGGCATCAGGCTGTTTTCTCCCCTGACGTCCCTTCCTCTCTGCGGGTCTTCCTCCTCCGCACACCCCCTACTCCTTCCTCCCGAGATACAAACTCTCGCCCTTCCCAAAATAGACCTCACTCCCTTACCCTGATCCCTGGCACTTTCACGACAGATGATCAGCTCGATATTTCAATTTCACAACCCGGTGTAGAAAAGCTTGAGGAGGGTATTTTTTTGTACCGTCCAACATCTGACTGGCTTTGTCCAGATGACAGCTGCTCGTCTTGTCACTGACTTGCTAAAAAGCTACCGAGGTCGAGGTGAAAAAGCGGACTTTAAAGGGGAAATAATATCTTCCAGGAGGCGCGTTAACACGGAAAAATCGCAAATTCATTTTTCCTAAACGAAATAGTCAGCAAAATGACATGATGCTGAGGTATTAAAGTGTTTTTCCTCCCGCTACTCCCTTATTAGCTAGCTAACGGTAGCGCTGGAGCTGGTCGGCAGGATGCTATGCGACTGCTGCTGGGAGAGAAAACTGAACAGAGTGGGCGAGGAGCAGAGCGGTAAAATTAATCCACACTCGATTATTAAACCTTGGGGCATTGAGCATTGTGGGTAATGTAGTTCGATGTAGACACAAGTTTCTGCACAGACTTGTGACTGTTTTAAATTGTACTGACTTGGGCTTTAGTCAGTGATGGAAAGATAAGATAAGATGTACTTATGTAGAAATTTACTTACCTTTTCAGTTCAAAGTACTTATGAAAAAGAGCCTTTAAAAATGTTTTTCTTATTAAATAAATTCATAACAACACAACTATACATTTAAATACAACAGAAACGATTGATTTGGAAATTAATTGGTAAGAGGTAAAACATTTCTGCTTTCTTTCAGCTCTTTTACACTAACATTTTTCTGATTACACTTAATTAGTAAAAATGTATGTTACGAAGACTAAGAAACAATTAGTATTAAAACTGCGGTCGCACTTGTGCGCGCAGTGATGAGCGGGCCCTCGCGTCCGTGCGCCTGTCGGGGAGGACAGCCGGTAGTCCCGGGCTGCTTCTCAGGTCGACTATTTTCATTTCCTCGCTCCTCGGTCCTCGGTCTCACCGGAAGTTGATTTGCCTGCGCCATCTTGAGTACCGTCCCATGGCTCTTATTTCTGCCGGAGGACCGAGGATCGAGGAGCGAGGAGCGATCATGGAGGAGCGATAACCGAGGAACCACCAGACCATCCTCCGATGAAATCCTCAGATACTCACCCCGCCCCCTTACTGTGTATCGCTCACTGATTGGACGAGGCAGTGCATGCACTGATCTGATGCTTCTTGACATGAGAGCAATACCCCAGCGGAGTGAAGAAAATACATGAACCTCACGGGACTCACTCCTCAGTTTATACCGTGTTTTGTTTCAATTAATGTATCATTTAGTTACAAATATGAGATATATCTGAACAACAAAGTGGTCAAAAATCATTTTATTCATTTATTGGAAACATTTTCATGATCGCTTTTTTCGTTTTACATTTTCATTTATTGTCATTTCCATTCAGTCATTCATTAAGTACTATTTAAAATATTAATTTGCTCCACACAAACAAACAAAGTGTGCAGTCCAATGAATGTTAATCTAACTGGGTTTTGAGATAACATATCTGTTTTTGTTCTCTGAATAATTGTATTCCTATTGTGCACTCTAATCAATATTAATCAAACTATTGTTCGTTTAAATACATTTTAAGAATGGCGTTTATCTTTTTTGAGAATGACTTCTTATTTTATTTCATGTATTGGGATCTACAACAGATGATACTAATGTTTATGTCAGTAAATGTGCACTAACAGAGGCGGGGGTGTTTGTGGAAATAACGGGTACAGAGCTGGCTGCTGCCAGACGAACAGCTGTGCAGCGTCATCACAAACGGACGTCGCTTCACGTGACGCTCCGGAGGAAAGGACGTCCCATTGCTATTAAAACTCATTTCCCTGCTTCTCGTGGTTTCCTTGCGTCCCTCCATGCTTCCCTGGTGGGAGGGACTAAACGCAGGGAAACGACGCAAGTGAGGGAAGAAAGGATTTCATTTAATCGACCTGAGAAGCAGCCCATATCTTGTACTGACACCAGTGCTGGAATTGGGCCGGTACTCACCGGTACGCAGTACCGGCACTTCTGGTTCTGACCCATGGAGTACCGGCACTTCTTGCTCAGTACCGGCATGCTGGCGGTACTCCGGTACTCATGCACCGTGCCAGTACTCAACACTCTCCCGCCGTTCTTATTATACATCCATATATATATATACAGCCGCCCGGTACTCAGTAGATGCGTCATGAGGTGCCGAACGGACATTCTCATCGCTCTAACCGCTGGAGTTTCACAGCGGCTGTCTGCTGTTTACTCCTGTCATTCAAACAGAACGTGCTGGAGAGGGGGCGGGGCTTATCTTCTCCATGTAAATACTGTGGTGGAAACGACTATGTCAAAATTAACCTATTTGACCGTGATTTAATAGTAATACACGTTTCAAAATAATAATAATAATAATAATAATAATGCCGAAGTAACAACATACTGAAAACTGTTAGTAAAACCATGTTTTAATGCTTTACAATTTACATACCTAGATGCACGTGTGTTGTGTTTATGCAGTGCAACTCCCACCCAGTGGGTGGCTATGTAGAGTGATAGAACAGAGCAGGCACGCCCCCGAGAGAAGGAAAGCAAGTCACGTCACAAATTAGCATTTCTAAAATGTTAGCGTGGATTAATAAAAGTGCAAAAAGACAGCGGTTGTCGCCGGAAGAAACTTCAAATACAGAGAATGCTGTGCCTGTGTTGGAAATTGTGTCTGATGGGGAGCTTTCTTTGGTTGATCCTCCTGCTCCAAGTTCTAGTGCATTAGCATTAGCACTAGCTCCGCAGCCTCCTCCAGAGCCTCTAACGTTAGCTGCTGCTGGCGCAACTGCCACCACCAACACCGGGCAAAGCGATGCACCTGACTGCTGGACAACGGACCAGGTGCAATATTTTTGCAAGACCAATGCATGGCTCCTTCTTAAAGATAAGAAGCTAGGATGTCGGATATGCAGAGATGTCAAATCTTTGGGAATACACACTGGACAAGGACTGAAACTGTCAACTGAATGGGGTGAGTGTGCAGTGTCTCATTTCGGTGTTGACAAGGGCAAACAACAAGCTAGCCTGAGAAAAAAAATCAAAGAACATAAAGAATCACAAGCCCATGTAAAAGCTGCTGACATCCTTACATCTGCTTTACGTGAAACTATTCAACATCAAGTACAGTCTATGCATAAATCTGAATTAGACACCACTATCAGAGTTTTTCGAACGGCATATAAAATTGGCAAACATAGCCGGCCATTCACAGACATGCCAATTGATTTGAATGTACAGAAACTGAATGGGCTGAACGTGGGCAGGGTTTTGCACTCCAATAAAACCTGTAGCGAAATCATCGACCACATAGCTCATGAGCTGAAGAAAAAAATGGCAAAAGACATTACAGAAAACCAAAGAAAACTCTGTGTTTTGGTCGATGAATCTACCACTATTAGTGGTAAAACGGTGCTTGTTGTGTGTCTACGCTCAGTATTAGCTGATGCTGAGCCCGAAACGTTTTTTTGGGAGCTGATCGACTTGGATGGAACAACGGCTGATGACATCACAAAGGCGTTAATGGAGTGTCTTGGAAGAGATTTTAACGAGGACTTTTTAGGTCAGTGTTTCGTTTCTTTTGCATGTGATGGGGCTTCAGTCATGCTAGGGAAGAGAACAGGCGTTGCTACCCAGTTGTGTAGTAAATTCCCAAGCCTGTTTGTGTGGCACTGCTCCAATCATCGTCTAGAGCTGGCAGTTGGGGATGTGGTCAAGGAGGTCTCAGGGCTCAATAATTTCCAGATCTTTTTTGACAAACTCTATTCCTTGTTCCATGCCTCCCCCAAAAATCAGAGGCAGTTAGCGCAGTGTGCGCAAGCAGTCGGACAGCGTCTCCTGGTGATAGGGCGTGTTTTGTCCATCCGCTGGGTGGCTTCAAGTGAAAGGAGCGTCAGAGCAGTCTGGGAAAACTACCGAGTGCTTCATGATCACTTCACAAATGCTGCAAACGACACGAGCAGGGATTCCAGAGACAGAGCAAGGGCCTGGATGATGTGCTCACATCTGCAACGTTTGTCAGCAATCTGGGACTGATGTACGATGCGCTCACAGAGCTCAGCGACCTCTCTCGGCAACTCCAAAAAAGAGAGATGACACTGCCTACAGCAGATAGGCTCTTTACTCGAGAAATACGAGTTTTTGAATCCATGGTCACCATGCCTGGCCCACACATGACTACAGTTCATACAGCTCTAGCTGAGAAGTCCTTCAAGGGTGTTGCCCTGCGTGAGAATGGCAGGCTTGTACAGATTCATGCAGGTCAGTTTTTCCGCAGTATGGTAGAGAATCTGAGACACAGAATGACTTCCACAACCTCCTCTCATGTCAGCACAAGAGAAATCCCATTACATGGCCGGGAGGCCCGGGACAATCAGCTAATCCAGGACATGAAAGTTATCCATCCTGGAAGTTGGCCTGAAGAGGAGTTAGACGTACAGTATGGGGACGTAGAGGTGCTACGTTTGTGCGAAGTGCTGAAAGTGGACAGAAGAGAGACTGTTCAGGGCTTTCGCGAATACAAGGAAACCAGGGCATCCCGTACACCTGCTGCCATGGAGCCTCTACTGAAAGCAGTCCGAACCATCGCTGTCTCCACTAGTGAGTGTGAGCGGGCATTCAGCTGCATGAACGATATCCTTACTGCAAAAAGGAATGCTCTCTCTGTCAGCCGACTGTCCAGCCTGGTTTTCATTCAATGTAATGGACCATCACTAGGACAGTTCAATCCGGAACAGTATGTGAGGTCCTGGCTGGCAAAGGGAAGGAGAAGTGCTGATGAAAGAGCCTGTCCAGCTCCAGCCCCTGATACTGATGTCCCCAAGGCCTTCTGGAGCCTTTTCTAACAATGTGAAGTATATTGCAAAGCAGCTCACCCAGTGAGAAGACTTTTGGCATAATGTGCCGATTTGTACAGATCCTGGAGATAGAAGGACTTCAGACCAACCAGGGAGTTATCTGATCAGCTTGGTGTTCAATGTAACTCTTTACCATGGCTCAGACTTTGTTACTTGCAGTTACAGTTTCTCATTTTAGATTGTGCAAATTTTGCATTTGTTTTTACATGTTCTTTGTTCATGCTCTTTATCATTTTTCCGAGTTGGAAAGTTAGATTGCATCATAGTTTACTTTATACATATTTGTATTCTTCAGTGGTGAAGTATATTGCAAAGCAGCTCAGCCATGTGAGAAGACTTTTGGCACTTTTTCGTTTTTCGTTTTCTGAGTTGCAAAGTTAGATTGCATTCAAAATGTACAGAAATACTAGGGCCGGGACTTTAACGCGTTAATTAAGATTAATTAATTACACAAAAATTAACGCGTTAAAAAAATTAACGCATTTTAATCGCACTTATTTTTGCACCGCGGAACGTTTCTCACTGGATGAGTTTCAGGCGTACCGATTATACTGGAGCACCAACTAACGTTCATGACTTCGGACAACAACAAACCACAGTGAACAACAGTGGGAAATGTTGTTTTAAAAAACGGACGGATGGAAGCGTCGATAAGAGCACGGTTGTGTGCAAATTATGCAAAAAGGAATTCGCATATCACCGCAGCACATCAAGCCTCAAGTATCACCTCAATGCAAAACATATAGCAGCTAGCGTGG